TCCGCTCCGGCGCTAACGCCTCCGCGTTCACCGTGGACGAAGCTTCGTCCGGAAGATAGCAGAGGCTGCAATTCTAGGCAGGTTTTTTGAATTTAATAAAACCAAGTCCCTGACCTTATAGCTTTCCACTTTGCCTCTTCCTTTTTCATCTGCATATTCTTTCAGCAGATCTTGGCTTTCAACAATCGCATCGCGAACGTGTCGTAGGACACTCAGTCTGGTAGACAAGAATTCATCGACTTCTTTTCGGATGGTGAGGGGCTGACATCAGCTAGCCGTTCGGCTATTCCTCCCCCACCAAGCCCTGAGCCATGGGATGGCGGCGTCAGTGGAACGCGAGGGTGAACCACCCGTTCACGTTGAACGGCGTGTAGCCGGTAGACGAATGCACTGCATTGTTCAGCGCAAACTCTGCGAGTGGCAACATGGCGCTCCAGCGCCTCGGCGTCTCAGCGCGCACGCTGCGAAGAACGTCTTCGATGACGCGATTCACCCTTTCGGTTTACCCATCGGTCTACGGATAATTCGCTGTCGACATATCCAACTTGGTGCCGAACACCTTGAAGATAGTTGACCAAAAGATTCTTGTGAAACGGGGGTCTCTATCAGAGACAATCGACTCTGGGAGTCCGTGCTGTCAGAAAACACGATCCATGAACAGCGTTGCTGGAACGAACTCGTCGATGGTGTCTGGCACCGCCGCGAAATGAGCCATCTTGCTTAACCGGTCAAGAAATATCACGAAACCCGTATTGTCCGCCGAATATTTCGGCAGGCCAAACACAAAGTCCAAACCCATGGACTGCCAGCACCCAGTGGGTACCGGTAAGCTGGCCAGTGGCACAGCCGCATTTAGGGAGGGTTTCACCCGTTAACACGTCTCACACGTGCGCACATAGGTGCTTGTCCATTTATACAGCTTGGACCACCAATAGTGGTGACTCACAGAGTTGTACGTTTTTTCACGACCGAGATGACCATTAGGTGGCGTGTCCTGAGCATCACAGAGGATGCGGTT